AGGTATATAAATGTTGAATTATTAGCTGAAACTAATATAACATTTGTTTATAAGAATAAAAATTTTAATTGGAAAAAAGTGTACTAAACCTTAAAATGTAATGTAATAATTCTAAATTATCATACTAAAAAATAAACTATAAATAGCCCTAGCCCCAATGCTTTTGTTGTATGTGAAAAACAAATGAGGGACTTTGAAACTCCTCTCTCTTCTCCTTTGTGTGCTCTCCCAACCTCCTCTCCAGGTTTATTACCCTTGAAATCTTTCACCCACGTACTTTAACCCAAATGATAAACGTAGATCAGTGAATCTCTCAATAAAAAACAAGAAAAAGATTTGTTTTTAAAGGATGCTTTAATGTCCATGATGCTGTCACAAAAATCACCCTCAAGAGTCCCATGTGAATTGCCTGCACATGAACTTGTTCTGAGCCCAGTGGGTTGGTCACGGGCCAAGACAAATTCATGACTTTCTTTGCACTGGCCCAAGTGAATATTGCTTCCAAATGGAAGCAATAGGGAACTATATTAATAAAAACCTTCCCCTAAAAGAGTTCTGTTTCTTCAAGGGGCATAGTGGGAGTTGTTGGGCCCCCAGGAAGAGGGATAGAACACTGCCTTCAGTTCAAACTGACCTGGGTCTGCATTCTCTCAGGTTGATTCCCAGATGATGACCCTGTGCAGGACCTAACCTATCTGGGACCTCAGTTTTCCTCATTTGTAAAATGGAGATAATAATACGAATCTCCTGTGGCTGCTATGAGGAGGTAAATAAATGTGAAATGCTCAGCACCATGCCTAGCTCATCATATGTACTCAGCAAAGTGTATTGTATACAATGATTCAACAAATGTAATTGTCATTTGTAAAGGGCTAGAGAAACCAAAGTAGACAAAAAAAAGTCCCTGCCCTGTGATACCAGCAGACTAGAGGGGCAGACAGATAGTCCTGGTGTAATTGCATGAATAAAGAATTACAAATTTGAGCCCTGGCTGGCGTGGCTCAGTTGGTCGGAGCATCCTGTACACCAACATGTGGCTTGTTAGATTCCAGGTTTGGGGTTCGACCCCTGTGTGGGGCACCTGCATGAGGCAACTGATCGATGTTTCCCTCTCACATTGATGTTTCTCTCTCTCTAAAAAATCAATAAAGTAAAAATTTAAATTAAAAAGATTACAAACTGGTGATGAAATGCACAATGAAATGAACCTGGAGCTTTACTACCAATAGATCTGAATTTCTACCCCATATCCTGTTCTCTCCCCTCCCCTGCCCTCCCTTCCCCTCCCTCTTCTTCCACCCTCACCCCTCACACTGGTATGATACTTGTTTTTAAAAAGTCATGTTAGCAAAAACTCAGAAGAAAACAAATAATTACAAATTGTGCTAAATGCTGAGATGGAAAAGTACAAAGGGAAAAGTACAGATAGAGTGGGAGGGAGAGAGACACACACACGGACTGGTTGCTCACTGGTTGCCTCCCACAGGGGCCTGACCAGAGTACATGCCCTTGACCAGAATTGAACTCTCCACTCTTTGGTCCATGGGCCAACACTCTAGCCGCTGAGCCAAACTGGCCAGGGCTGATCTAGTCACTTTTTAACCCAGGTGAGGTGACCGCTGGTGGAATAGAATGTTTTTGGTTTCCCTTTAGTGACATGAGGATCTCTCACATGTATAATATGCAGAACATTTTGCAAACAACTTTTCACAGCTGAGGTTTTCATATGAAAACCTTTCACAAGATCCTAAGCAGAGATTATGACCATCATTTTATAGAAGTGGAAATTAACATGTAGAGAGGTTATATAACTTCCTCAAAGCCAGCCAGCTCACTGATAGCAAATCCAAAGGTCAGACAAAAACCAAAAGTCTTTTGCATCTATATCTATTGCTTTTTCATGATCTCATTTATTCTTTTTGTATCTTTATTTTGAAATATAGCATGCTTTCTTTTTTTAATGTTGAAATATAGCTTACAAAAAAGTGTGGAAAAATATATGTGCACAGTTTAAAAAACACCCTGTAGTCCAGTCAGTGTGCCTCAGTGGTTGAGCATCAACCCATGCACCAAGAGGTTGTCAGTGATTCCTGGTCAGGGCACATGTCCAGGTCATGGGCTCAATCCCTGGTGAGGGGTGTGCAGGAGGCAGCCAATCCCTGTTCTCTCTCATTGATGTCTCTATCTCTCTTCCTCTCCCTTCCTCTCTCTCTAAAGTCAATAAAAAAAATTATTTTCAAAAATGTTTAAAGAACACCCAGTACCTACCACCCAGTCCAAGCAACAGAATTTAACATAATAGTCCTCTATGTGCCCTTCCCCAGAAGTAATTCTTATGCTAAATTTTGTTATTAATTTCCTCTTACCATTTAAAAACATTTTCTCAGTTACGTATCTCTTAATATATTATTGCTTTGCCTACTGTTGAACTTTAGATAAACAGCATTTTAGTTTATGTATTATCTTGCAACTTGCTTCTTATTCCCAATATTTTATTTTTTATATTATCTATATTGATTCTTAGATCAATAATTCATTTTCAGAGATAAATAATATTCCGCTGTGAGATTATGCCACATGTATTTTTATATTCCCCTTTTAACAGACACTTGGGTTATTTCCAGTGTTTTGCTGTTATAGTTATTCTTTTTTTTTTAAGAAACAAAAATGGATTTTTTATAAAAGACTTTCCAAGATATTATAAGTTTTGTAAATTTAAATTCCAGTTCCTGCATTTACATTAACAGTACTGTATGATAATAGGGTCTATCATTTATCTGAGTTTACCATCAGTCAGGAACTATGTTAGGTGCTTTATACACATTTAAAAATGTTATTCTCATAACATTCCTCTCTGGTATGTATTGTCTTCAGGTGAAAGGACCAGTTTATAGGCAATAGAATCTGAGGTTTCTAGAGGTTAGACAACTTGCCCAAGGTCAATTCACCCAAGCCAAGATCACAACTCAAGCTAATTCTAGCATTCAAGTTCTTTCCAATTTACTCCATGCCTCAATACTGTGTTGTGCACTCATAACAACCAAGTGTAATGACAGGTACTATAAGTGGCTCCTATATTACTTATATTTTTAATTATGGCAAAATACACATAGCATAAAATTTACCATCTTACCCACTTTTTTTTCTTTATTGATTTTAGAGAGAGAGAGGAAGGGAGAGGGAGAGAGATAGAAACATCAAAGAGAGAGAACATTGACTGGCCGCCTCCTGCATGCCCCCACTGGCCCACAACCTGAGCATGTGTCCTGATGGGAAACCGAACTGGTGACTTCTTAGTGCATGGGTCGACGCTCAACCACTGAGCCACACTGGCTGGGCCCATCTTACCCATTTTTAACTATACAGTTCAGTAGTGTGAAGTACATTCCCATTGTGCAATCCATCTCCAGCACTTTTACATTCTTGTACATATATCCTGGGGCACATGTGCCAGATTTCCTCTCGGGCATGTCCTATGGGTAGAACTACTGAGGTGGCCTTCCTACAGGTGGAATGCATGGTTTTATATTTGCTTGGCTTTATCAGTTAAGGAAAAACTCTTCCAAAATGGTTGCAAAAATTATATTCCCATAGGCAGTTACTTTAAAAAAAAAGTAATAGATTCATATATTCTTTTTAAAGTTCCAAATGTTAAAAGAACAAAAAGGCAATACAATAAAAAATCTCCCATTTCCTAAACAACTCATTCCCTTCCCAGAGGCAATCAATATTACTAAATTCTGGTGATTACCCTTCCAGAAATATGCTATTGCATATAGTTCCCGCTCTTACAACAAATGTTAGCATTCTATACATACTGTTCGGACACTTGATTACTTCTCTTAATAAACATCATAGGTAGTATAACCAGTTGGTCTCTGAAGCAGACTGGACACATCTATTGCTCCACTCAAAACTGCCCATAACCTTGGATAGGTTATTTAATCGCTTTGTGCCTTATATTCCTTATTGTAAGGTATGGAAAGAATCCTACCTCAAAAGGTTTTATGGGAATTAAATTAGTTAATATATGTAAAGCATTTAGAACTGCACCTATTAGAACTGTAACTATTATGAATATAATCACATCAATGCTTTCTCATCCTTTGTTTTTTTTTTGTTGTTGTTTTTTTTTTACAGTTGCTTGGTGCTTATTATATAAATGTATCTCAATTTATTTTAATCATAATGATGAGCATTTAAGTTGGTTCCAGTATGTTGACATTACAAACAGCACAGCAATAACTAACATATCATCTTCCATTCACCCTGGTGACTACGTCTGTAGGATAAAGTCCTAGAATTAGAACTGCTGGATCAAAGGTATCATGTAGTTTATAATTTCAATGGATATTGGCAAACTACCCTTCAAGGATACATAATGGATTCTCATACCTGTTAACTTAGAGAGATACAGAAACTGCAGAATAGAAGAGACCTAGGTGACCTACTTTCTTGTCTGGCTGAGTCAGCAGAGGCTGGGAGACGGAAAGTGACTCACCCACACAGTTAGTGGTGGAAACAGCCCCAGAACCCAGGCAGGTGTCTGGAGTCCTAAAATTCTTTAAAGCTCGTTTTAACATCTCATCATTTTGACGCAGCAGTGAGCTTATCTAATTTCTTATTATTCTTTCCGATTTTCCCACTGGCTACTTTTTCATGGGCGCTGTCAAGTGACCCTTGGACAATTCAGGCCAGCTGGCACTTTGGCAAGCTATCGATCTTTCAAGACGCTGTACTTGGTGAACTGCCTTCAGGGGCGCAGAGTTCCGCCAGCCACCCGCAAGAGGGCATTTACATTACCACAGGGCAGCGACCCACAGCACTTGCCCTGTTGTGTAGCCCGGACCAAATTTCGCAAGTTGGTGGTCGATTTGTGATACGTCCGTCTTTTCGAGCAAAGGAAGCCCGCCTCTCCGTGATAAAGTCGTTATTGGATGAAAGGGCTGTCAATCACCAAGGGAATAAACGTGGGCGGCCTCGGTTCCTCCCCCAGGAAGGCCAGGACCGCGCGGCGTGCCTTAAGTTCCGCGGCGCGAGTCGTGTGGGCCACCGTCTCCGCGGTAACGTCTGTTACTCGACATTACCTGGAGTAGGAAATAAAGGGGACCTCTCCTCTTCTCCCTCCCGGCCCGGCAGGCTAGATGGCAGAAACGGCGGTGACGGGTGCCGGCGGGGAGGCGATGGCGGCGGCGGCGGCGGAAGGTTCCGCGGGTCTGGCGGTCTTGTCTCTGGGTCGCGGCTTCTCGAGCTACCGGCCCTTTGAGCCCCAGGCGTTGGGCCTCAGCCCGAGCTGGCGGCTGACGGGCTTCTCCGGCATGAAGGGCTGAGGCTGCAAGGTCCCGCAGGAGACGCTGCTCAAACTCCTGGCGGGACTGACGCGGCCGGACGAGCGGCCGCCGCTGGGCCGGGGCCTGGTCGGAGGCCACGAAGAGGCGGCCCAGGAAGCCGGCCTGCAGGTCACGGCGGAATCCAGCCCAACTTTCCCAGCCCTGGGCATTGGGATGGACTCGTGCGTCATACCGCTGAGGCACGGAGGCCTGTCACTGGTGCAGACCACGGACTTCTTTTACCCCTTGGTGGAAGATCCCTACATGATGGGGCGCATAGCTTGTGCCAACGTGCTGAGTGACCTGTATGCCATGGGCATTACTGAATGTGACAACATGTTAATGTTACTCAGCGTCAGCCAGAGTATGACTGAGGAGGAACGGGAAAAGATAACCCCGCTCATAGTCAAAGGCTTTCGGGATGCTGCTGAGGAAGGAGGGACTGCAGTGACTGGTGGACAAACTGTGGTAAACCCTTGGATTATCGTGGGTGGGGTTGCCACCGTGGTTTGTCAGCCCAATGAATTCATAATGCCTGACAGTGCAGTTGTTGGGGATGTGCTGGTGTTAACCAAACCCTTAGGAACCCAAGTTGCTGTCAATGCCCACCAATGGCTGGATAATCCTGAAAGATGGAATAAGATAAAGATGGTGGTCTCCAAAGAAGAGGTAGAGCTGGCCTATCAGGAAGCCATGTTCAATATGGCTACCCTAAACAGAACTGCTGCTGGGTTAATGCACACATTTAATGCCCATGCAGCCACAGATATCACAGGCTTTGGCATTCTGGGGCACTCTCAGAACCTTGCAAAACAACAAAGAAACGAGGTGTCCTTTGTCATCCATAATCTGCCCATCATTGCCAAGATGGCTGCCATCAGCAAGGCCAGTGGGCGCTTTGGGCTCCTTCAGGGAACCTCAGCAGAAACTTCTGGAGGGTTACTAATTTGCTTGCCAAGGGAACAGGCTGCTCGCTTTTGTTCTGAAATCAAATCTTCCAAGTATGGAGAGGGTCACCAAGCATGGATAGTTGGCATTGTGGAGAAGGGAAACCGCACGGCCCGAATCATTGACAAGCCTCGAGTTATTGAGGTCCTACCTCGTGGGGCCACTGCTACAGCTCTTGCCCTGGACCATTCCAATGCCTCCTCTGAACCTAACTCATGAGACGGAATAGCACAAGTTGTTTGGACCTTTGAGCCTTTGTTCACAGTAGTGGATTCTGAAGAGCTGATTTGAAGAACAAATTTCCAAAGAAGGCTGCCTGCATAGAAGTTTCACAGTTCGCCTGTCTAGGTGATTTGAATCAGCTGGTCATAAGCTGCACATTCCATGGCCAGAAGTAACATTTTGAACTTTGGGGGAGGGTTGTTCAAATTTGGCTTAGACCAGGAACAGAAAAACCTGTTTCCTCTTTTCAAGAGCAAAATGAGGCTATTCCAGTTTGAGGGAATTGCAAAATATACACATATATATATAAAGATATATATATGCAATGTCAGAAGCAAATAAATTTGGATCAGCACTGTTGATAAATAATATAAATTGTTAAGAAAGATCTTAAAATGCAATGTCATGTTCTATTTTAAATTTTTCTGAAATACTCTCTTTCCTGCTCTGGACAAGAATTGAGCAGCTTGTCCAATGACTGGGAAAGGAGGACCTGCAACCATCTGACTTGGTCTCTGTTAATGATGCCTCTTCCTCTAAACCCCTTTAAGGACTGGGAGAGGCAGAGTGAGTCCCAGAGCCCAGGCCTTGGTGGTCATTAAGCTGTTAAATTTTGTGCTGAAAATTCCTGGTGATATAATCAATAAAGTGACTTCTAGTGAAATAAATAAAAAGGACTGTTGAAATTTTTTCTGGCTAAAGTTTGGATCCTTGGAATTCTGAGTCTTTCACAGTCTTCTCAAAGTGAATCAATTGATACGTTTAGAGTCAGGCAAAGTAGAGAGTTTTTCTGATCCTAGCCTAGGTGATTTCACATCCAGATCTAGGTTTGCATCTTTCTCCTGAGTTGACAGCAAAGGACTCAAAACACATAGACCCCAAGGACTAGAAGGTGGGACAGGAAATAGCAAAAGTGCCAACAGTTCTTGGAACATGAAAAGTAGGGGGAAGAGGGATAACTGACTTAGCGAATAGAGGAAGCCAAAATGTAAACACCTTCAGAGTTAGAGAACCTAACAGGAAGTGAAGAAATGTGCTCCAGAAGTACTTAATGAGGAAGGAACAGGGGTGGGGATAAAAATAGATACAGGTTGAAAGTTTATACAGGGTCATTAGATCTTTAAAGTTCTCACTCAAACTTCTCCCTGATTCACACAACCAGAAGACTGCTCCTTAACTTGAGTGATAAAGGGAGGTTTATTTTCTAGACAATGTGAATTTAAAAAATACTGTGGAGTCAAGGACACCAGGCACAACAGAAGACAGGGCACCTGACTGAAAACAAGAATAAAAACTGGATAATGAGACCCCAAAAAGCTTCCTCAGCTATTAAAAACACTGTGTGGGAACCTTATACTGTTACTCCTGGAGAAAATGAATGTGCACAGGAAAAGACATATAAACATAAACATTTATGGAGCCTCCAGTCAGAATCTCTGTATGGGTAAGTCTCCCAATTGATAAGCTTCACTCAAACACATTCTCTTTAATGCCTTATTTTAAAATAACAGTAGTCATTTAAGGCAAGACTCCAACTTGAAGACAAAGCTAACAACAAAAAATTCAGGAAGGAACAACAGGGAATGGAAGAGAAAAAAAAAGCAAGCAAAGATAAAAGAAGGAATAATATCCATGAAAAGATAAGAACAAGGCACTTAGAATATAAAAATAAAGCTAAGATTTAAAAATTCAATATAATTCTTAGAAGATAAAATTGAGCCCTGGCCTGGTTTCTCTGTAGGTTGGAACATTGTCCAATACACTGAAAAGTTGTGGGTTTGATTCCAGGTCAGGGCATATGCTTCGGTTGTGGGTTTCATCCCAAGTTGAAGAGGCACTCAATCGATGTTTCTCTCTCTCTCCCCCTCTCTTCTCTCTCCCCTCCTTTCTCCAAAATGAGGATTACATTAAATAAAGTTGAGGAAATTTTCCAGAAAGTAAAACAAAACAAAGATGCACAATAGAAGAAAAAGTATATATGAAAATCATAGGTGAGCCAGGAGGTTCAATATCTAAGAGAAAGTCAAGGAAGAAGTAATAGAGCAGACAGAACAAAGAAAATTATCAAAGAGTGATACGAGAAAGTTTTTTAAAACTTGCCCTGGCCAGTTTGGCTCAGTGGTTGAGCCTGCGGACCAGAGAGTCCTGGGTTCAGTTCCTACTAGAGGCACATACCACCAAAAAAAAAGAAAAAACTTAAAAGCTGTGGCACATACCTGTTAATTCCCAGCGTGGTGAGTGAAAAAATACACTAGTTTTATTACTAAAAATTTAAATGCCAGGATAAGGAGATAATAATAATAGCAAATGTTTATGTAGTGCATACTCTTTGCAAGGCACTGTTCTAAATGTTTTATATGTATTAACATTTAAAATTCCACCAATCTCATTGTGTCAATAAGAAAGCCGAGTGCAGAAGATTAAGAAACTTGCTGAAGGTTACACAGGCAGCCTTACTCCAGAGTTTATGCTTCTAATCACTGTGCTCTCCTAACATCTTCTGGGGAGAAGGGAAGATCACATGCAAAGGTTTGGGATAAGATAGTATCAGACTTCTCAACAGCAAATTGGAAGCTAAAAGCCAATGAAGGAATGCCTTCAAAATTCTGAGGGTAAATGATTTTCTAAAATGTATAATTTTAGCCCTGGCCAGTGTGGCTCAGTTGGTTGGAGCAGCATCTGGTACACCACAAGGTGGCGGGTTTGATACCCTTTAGGGCACATACCTGGGTTTGGGTTCAATCCCGAGTCAGGGCACGTGGGGATGTAATCCATTGATATTTCTCTCTCACATCAATGTTTCTCTCTCTCTCTCTAAAATATCAATAAAAAATAAAATGTAAATTTTATACCTAGCCATATCTTTCAAAAATGTAGAATAAAGGTATTTTTAGACATGTTAGGTGTCAAAGTGGTTTTATCCCATGTACTCTTTCTCAAGAAACTCCTGGAAGATGTGCTCCAGCAAAACAAGGGAGCAAACCAAGGAAGAAAGAAACATGGGGTTCTGGAAATCCAACCCAGCACAGTAGAGAGGTGAAAGGGGGTATCAAGGTACAACAGGCCTGGGGAGCAACAGTCCATGCTGGAAAAAGATCCTGGAAGGCTTCCAGAAAAAGGACAGTGGAAGATGGAGTATTGATGCATTTAATTTTGTGAAAAGTTTTCTGGGAAGATTAATGGAAGATTTAAAAAGAGTTAGTGATGATCTTATAAAAAACAATAGGTCCTAGAACAAATTAAGCCTGAAACATCATTGAAGAAGAAAAATGACAAAATTGAATCTGTCCTAATTTGGGCACATCAGGAGAAGGCAGAGTTCTTTTGAACATACAATAATGTTGGATAAAATAGAAGGTAGCAGGAAAGGAGGAAAACCAAATGTGAGATGGATTGGCTCTATAAAAGAAGCCATTGGCATGAGTCTACAGGAGCTGAGTAGGGCTGTGGAGGACAGAACACTGTGGACATCAATCATTCAAGCCAAGAGTTGGAGCCAACTCAATGGCACTTAACAATAATATTGAAAACTGGGGGGGGGGGCCGAGAATGATCCAGTCAAAAACAAAATCTTGTATATAAAATAATCTTTAATCGTGTATAATATTCATCAATGAACTTTTACATAGTTAATGTAAATACTATCTAAGAAAAATAAGTAAGTTAACTAATTGATTGTTTAAATCAGTTTTTTAAATCAGTTTTTCTCCTGCTCAAAGCTCCTAATAGCTTTCCGTAAGATTTCTGCTACATATCTCCATCTGTATCTCATGGCACTCTCCCTACCTCTCTCACTAAACTAGCCCAGTAGATTTTTTATGGTGCTTTCAACAAAACAAGATCCTTTGTGCTCTCAGTTCCCTTCATCTGGAAGCTCGCCTCAGGCTCTCTACCTGGCTAGCTCATTCTCAATCCTGACTCAGCTCAAATAAAACCTCCATAAAAGCCCTCTCTCTGCCCTGGCCAGTTTGACTCAGCGGCTAGAGCGTTGGCCTGCAGACCCATGAGTTATGGGATCGATTTTGGTCAAGGGCACATACCTCAGTTGTGGTTCATCCCTGGCCTTGGTTGGGGTCATGCGGGAGGCAACCAGTTGATGTGTCTCTCTTAAATTGATGTTTCTCTCTCCCTCTCTCTCCTTCCCTCCCACTCTCTCTGAAGAAAAATAGAAAAATATCCATCAGTGAGGATTAAAAAGATATATATATATTTTATCCTCATCTGAGGACATTTTTCCATATTTTGTTCAGAGAGAGTGGGAGGGAGAGAGGAAGAGAGAGAGAGAGAGAGAAAAACATCGAGATGAAAGGGACACATCAAGTGGCTGCCACCCACATGACCCAACCAGGGCCAGGGACAAACTGCAACCGAGGTACATGCCCTTAGCAGGAACAGAAGGCCGACGCTATAACCGGTGAGCCAAACTGGCCAGGGCTAAAAAGATATTAAGACAAAATAAAACCCCTCTCTGACCTGAGCAAACACCTATCTACTGTCCCTATATATTAGCTTTATAGTTCTTATCCTAATCTATACTTATCTTGAGATTTTATTATTTATAGTTATTTCTCTCTGCTAGCATGTACACTCCAAGATGCCAGGGGATGTTCTATATCCCCAGCATCAAAAACAATGTCTGCCCATAGTTAGTGTTCAGGGTATATTGAATGAATAACTGAAGTACACACTGGGGACCCTTGCCACCTCTATTTTCAACTTTTATAGCTCTTGCTATCTCTTAGCAGTGAAGGCTGATACCACCAACCTCTTACCATGAGGCTTTGGAAAAGAAATTCAGACCTTGGTCCTGATTATCCCTTTACACAGCTCTCTAACTGGTTCATTTTCCAGCTTGGGGTGGGCAGTAGAAAGGGAAGGAAAATGATTGGATGCTTCCCTGGCCTGGGCCCTCTGAGTTAACTTAGAAAGGATAAGGGGTTGAGAGCAAGGCAGGCATCCAACTTTTCCTTGGGGAGGGGCTGCGCATCACAATGGAGGTAGTAGGTAGTGGAGGTGACAGGGCCTTGGACGGAAATTAGAAAAGAATCAAGGGTACAAACAGAGGTAAGGAAGTTGATGAGGGAAAAGGAAGGAGAAGAAAAGGAAAAGGGAGCCAATGGTAAAAAAGAAGAGGGAAGCTGAAGCTTGAGGAAGATGAAGAGAAGGGACAGAAGGGCAGTGACTAGGTGACCTCGGCACACAGCAAGCACGGGTCAGTGGCCTACTTCACTTCCTTGTGGGGGCAGGAAGACGTCTTTACTTGCTGGGGAGCACCAAGGAGTGCTGGTGAGCTGAAGCCCATGCCTTTCTGAGTGATCTCAGATAGGCCTCTGCGTCTCAGTTTTCTCATCCATAAAATAGGTGCAGCCATACCCACCTATGGCACGAAAGTCAGGGAACTGATCCCATGAGATGTGCGTCTATAAATCAGTATTTATTTCATCTCTCCAAGTACCAGGCCCTGAGGAAACAAAAGCCTGACACTGCTTCTGTTCTCCAGGAGACCCAGTCTAGGAGGAGATCTAGAATAGGGACACCAGTCACCCCCAAATTAAGTTGAAAAGTGGTGTCATGAGAGCTAGAGTGGATGAAGTACTATAGAAACAGAGTTATGTCCTTTTGGAGGAAGTTTTGCAAGGCTTCTCAGGGGAGGTGGCTTTGAAGCAGGGCTCTACAGGATGGGAAGAATTGGATTTGGATATGCAGAGAAGGGGAAAGGGCATTCCAGATGAAGTGAACTGTGTGAGCAAAGGCAGGAAGGGGGAGAGTGGGGAATATCTAGCTGGACTTCAGCATGTTGTAAGGGGGCAATGCTGGATAAGTAAGTTGGGGAAGGGCTTATAAGAGTGTTGGCTACTCATCCTAAATGGACTATGCTAAAGAATCCTAAAAAGCCTCTGTCATGAGTCCCCATGAAACATTTAATAAGAACAAACATTTAAAAAAAAATTTTTTTTTTCTTTATTGATTTTAGAGAGATAGGAAGGGAGAGGGGGAGAGAGATAGAAACATCAGTGAGAGAGAACTTCCATCGGCTGCCTCCTGCATGCCCCCCACTGGGGATCAGGCCCACAACCTGGGCAAG